TGAGCCATTGGAGTTTATACGGAGTAGGATTCTTTGACGTTGCCAATCTAAGTTTTTCAACCATAAGAGTGCTGGCTACGTTTGTGCAACTTCCTCCATCGATGATCATTGTGCAAACCTTATCCTTGACATGGCACCTTGTATGAAAGATATTGTTTCTTTGAATATCCTCTTGGGATGTTTGTGATTGTAGGCGCCTCTTTGAAACAAGCATTTCACCATGATCTGCATTTTCTTCCGTTTCTTCGTCTTGTATTATTTCAGGTTCCTCGTCAAAAATAGGCTCATCAGAATCTGATACAATATCTCCATTGTCAAGTACCATCATGGCATTTCGGTTGGGACATTGACTAGCAACATGTCCTTTTCCAAAACACTTGAAACATTTGATGTCTCTTGATCTCTCGAAAGTGCTGGTTTGCTTTTCTTTACCCTTGCTAGATTCGCCCATTTGTGCAGATTTGGGTATCTCTACGCGATCCTTTGGTTGGATTGGAGTTTGTTTCCGGAAGGTAACAGGTTCTTGCTTCCATTTGGTGGCCGAATTTGGACTGCTCCTAGTGTAGGATTTCCTTTTGAGTTGTCTTTCAATTTTCATGGCCACATGCACCATCTCTTCAATTTCTACATAATGCTGAAGTTCAACAAGGTTAGAAATATCAATATTTAGACCAGATAAGAACCTTGCCATTATTGCTTCTCTATCTTCATCCACATTGGCTCGGATCATGGCAATCTCCATCTCCTTGAAATAATCTTCAACGTTCTTGCTTCCTTGTTTCAGATTTTGTAACTTATGATAGAGATCTCGGTGATAGTGATTAGGAACAAACCTTTTTCTCATAAGGGCCTTCATTTCTTCCCAAGTTGTGATGGGGCGTTCACCATTTCGTCTTCTTGAACTCACCAACTGATCCCACCAAACTAAGGCATAGTCAACGAATTCCATAGCAGCAAGTCTAACCTTCTTTTGCTCCGTATAGTTTTGGCATTCAAAAATGTGTTCAATTTTGATTACCCAATCAAGATAGACTTCTGGATCAGTCCGTCCTTGAAATGAAGGAATAGTCACTTTAATGTTGCTGAAGTTGTCATTTTGATTTCGATGAACATCTCTCCTTGCTACTGATGTTACTTCAGCCTCTTCCTCTTCTAAGTCTTCTTCCATTCTAGGGCGATTTACTCTCCGATTGCCTAGAGATACTTCTAATTGATCCAGATGATCTTGCAAAGGCTCCAATTCTAATTTCAGCAATCTTGCCATTTCACGCATAACGGCTTGAGTCTGCAAATTAGGGGATTCTCTTTCTGGGGATTGTCCTAAACTCCGAGACATGGTTAATAAATAAGAAAAGAATAAGATGTGTAAAAGACCTTACCAGAATATACTCTCACAAAGCCTCACGAGTCACTCCAAGAAAACTTGATGTCACTCAATCCGCTCGTGTTTGCACTCTAGGACTTTAATGGCTTTTACTTGTCATCTTCTGATCTCACACACGCTCCAGCCTTTTTCCCTCAATTCTCTTGTCTCAAGTTCTAATGAACTTTTACTCAAGACTATATCGAGTAATTTCACTTGTTTGGCGTCAGCTGCAAATGGTTAGTAGGAATGGAAAGCAAATATAATTGAAAAGGTGGCTTAGAAATTAGAAAGAAGAGAATGAAAGGGTTACTTACACAAGTCACTTCACAACCTTCTATCACCACAATCAATTTTAAAGGCTTACTTGAAAATGCTTGGTGATGAGAATTGTTGATGAGTGCTTCCAACTTTTCTTTCTTTTCTTTGCTTTTTCTTCTTTTTGAGTGCTTTGACTTTTGAGTCCTTCAATTTTCTTTGCTGATTTTTTTTTCTTTTTCTTTGACTTTGCACTTCACTTTTGCACTTCTTTTTGTATTTTTCTTTTTGTTGTTGTTGCACGTTGCTTCTTCCACCAAAGCTCTGATTACCGCTTGATGTAAGGTACTTGTACCTTTTCAAATGATTGTGGATCTAGGAAGGAAGCAAAACAACCTGCAAAGTGAATGGCTCAAAATAGAATGGTTAAGGGTGGTAGACGTATGGGTGAATTGGTAGGCTATTTAAATAATGAGTAATGGAAGCGGAAGATAGTTGATAAGGCTATGGTTATGGTGATGAAATAAAAGGATGGTTGTGAGGATAGTATCTTGAAGAAATCTCAAGAAGAACCAATGCTATATAGAGCAGAGACCCAATCTTTATATTGTTTCTTCAAGGGATGGTGTTAAGTACTTTGACCCACTAGTTATATGAACTAGGAACCAGAAGTATCAAGATGAAAGGAAGGGGTTGACGCCACAAGTATAAAATACTTGATAAGTCGATAAAAAGTCACCAGGACTTAAGAAGAGAATAATCTCACTTTAATTGAATAAAAAGGTGTACACAAATGATGTAATGTTTTCCTATTTATAGGAAATGGAGAGACATGGCCGAATAAATACAAGATGATTCGGCCAGCCTATGTATCTCCCTATAAAGACATAATTTAAATGCTAAAAGAGAGGATGGTTCGGCCCTAGATGGAGGGAAATGATCCTTGGCCGAATAGTTCTTGTGTCTCCTCAAGTTGGTGCCAATTTGGATGGGAGATGATGCTTGGCCGAATAGGGAGAGGGCTCTTCATCTTGGCGCCTAAATGAGTTCACATGCAAGGCACATGGGTGTTCTAGGAAGCCTTGTGGTGCACCCATGTGCATTGGATGATGGCTGGTCATGTGCTTCTTCTTAGGCGTGCATGTGTCCTCCAAGCTAGCTTGAGTGTTGAGCTAGCTAGCAAGCATGGGGCTATTTGTGAATGATCTTCCTAGCCGAGTCCTTTTGAGCTCCATAACAACATATTCAGCTACATTCGGCTACCTTTGTCATCACTTTTAGCAACTCAGCTTCAAATAGTCCAACTAGCTAAGTTTAGCTAGCCTGAAGCTTCTCCAGCTGAATTGAGCTTCCCTTAGCATTCCATGAGCTGCCTTGTACTTTGTGAGCTATTTGTGAGCTATATATGACGTCCAAAACATTCACCAAGCTACCTCAACGTGCATCACACTCCATTGTACCTATATGTGCAAGGAAACAAGGTAAGTTCATGATATTGAGCTAAAACGAGCTAAATACCTTGCTGCCATGTTTGATTATGGTAATGTGAGCTAAGTAGGATGGTCATGAGCTAAGTACATCATCTCCTAATATGTGTAAGATAATGTATAAAGCCTAAGAGTTAATATAAATGCAAATAAACTAATGAAATGCATTATAAGTATGCTGCCTTGATGTATATATAATAATCATGCTTAATATGATAATAAAACTATCCTAACATGCTTAACATATTAAAATTAACAATGTGTAAGATGTGTTCATACTAAGTTATTCTTTAGCTATTAAAACATTATATAACATAACATAAGAGAGTGTTAAGTTATCAAATGAATCAAAAGCTTCAAGACACTTAGTTAAGAGAACTTCCCTGAATTGTTTGGCCCTTGACCTAGTAATGGGACCGTGTGGCATGACCTCCGGATCTGGTGTAGACGTGACTATATCACGTGCGATTCTTTCCGTCAATAAGGAGTGCACAAAGATGTATTAAAGTTAAAGCTATTTCCATTTTTTTGCGTAATCAAGCAAGTTCTTGGTTGAGTGGCGTTCTAGTGGGTTCGATGGAGTCTTGTGCTGATCTTTGAATTTTTTTTTGCTAAGGTATAATCCTCTGAAATGAACACGCAACTGAGGAACGACATCACTTCTTTTCGTCAAGCTAATGATATATCAATGTATAAATATTGGGATCGATATAAAGGATTGCTTTGTAAATATTCAAATCATGGTTTTCAATATTGGACTCAAGTGGTAATGTTCTATAATGGAGTTAATGCATCCACGAGAATGATGCTAGATGCCTCGACAAATGGGACATTACTCGATAAATCACCTGCAGAGGCATTTAACATTATGGACAAGATTATAACAATGATTATCAATTTCCATCTACAAGGCTTGGAATTGGGCGAAAATCACATGGAGCATTCGAGTTAGACACTAAGGTTTATGTGTCCGCCCAACTTGTTGCTATCGCCAATATGTTGAAGAATTTTCAATGACCAAGTGAGGTGAAAGAAGTGAAGGCATCCATTTCAACATGTTTATTATCCCATGGCAATCATCATAAGAGCGAGTGCCCAACCAATCAAGAATCCATCAACTATGTTGGAAACTACAATCAAGGCAACAATAACCCCTATTCTAACACATATAATCCGGGATGGAAAAATCATCCAAACTTCTCGTGGGGAAATCAAGGAACCAATAATGCTATTCAACCCGTTCAGTAGTAGAATTTCAATGACTCCTAAGGTTTTCAAACGAATATACTGTGGCATAATTCTAAAAAGGAGAGCCATCTTCTTCTAACATAAGTTCTTTGGAGGTCATAATGTAAGAGTTTATAGCAACCACGAAGACCATGCTACAAGACCATACGACCTCCATAAAAAACCAAAGAGCTGTGCTTCTGAACCATAATTCATCTCTAAGGGAGTTAGAGGTTCATATTGGTCAAATTATCGCGGCATTACAAGAATGTCAACCAGTCGTCTGCCGAGTGAGACTGAAGTCACCAAACCTCATGGCAAAGAGAAATATAATGTACTCACTCTACGGAGTGGCATCCAAGTCAGTGTAGAAAACAAGTTTGGGGGAAGACCGAAGAATGATTTACCCCATGTAACCGTGCAAGTTGGGCATGAATTACCAAAAGAGACAAAAGTGGAAGAGGATAAGGATAAGGGTTCATCACGTAAAGCAACTGAGGGAGAAAACAAAAAAGCCAAGGAAAACTCTGTTCCTGCCCCTTCAAAGAAGTTAGACCCCACCTCATTTCCCACAAAGACTAAAGAAGCATAATGATGACATTAAATTCAAGAAGTTTTTTGATATTTTAAACCAAGTTCATACCAATGTTCCTTTTCTGGAGGATATGGAGCAAATCCCGACATATTCTAAATTCCTTAAGGAGATTGTTACCAAGAAAAGAAAAGCTGAGAAGTACGAAACAGTTGCCACGACAAAAGAATATTGCTCTGCCTTAAGTAAGCTGCCACCAAAAAGACAAGATCCATGTAGTTTTATCATTCCGTGTGTGATAGGAGAAAATTATATTGGGAAGACACTATGTGACCTTGGCTCAAATGTGAACTTAATGACTAAGTCAATCTTCATGAAGCTTGGAATAGAAAATGCGAGACCCACATTTGTTATCTTGCAATTAGTCGACCGCTCCCATGTTTGTCCCGAGGGACGAGTCGAGGATGTCATTGTAAGGGTGGACAAATTCGTGTTTCCAGTAGACTTTCTTATATTGGATTGTGAGGTTGATGTTACAACACTCATAATCTTGGGGAGACATTTCCTACCTACGAGGCGTATTCTTTTTGATTGTGAGAAGGGTGAGCTTACCATGAGAGTGGCCTACCAATGTGTCACTGTTAATGTTTTCCATACTCTCAAGTACATGGATGAGGCTGAAGAATGCCTGAGCATTTTTGAAGCGGATTCATTGATAACAAGAGAAGTTGATCAATTTTACCATGACAATTTCATTCAGCTAGAAAATTATGAGAGGCTATTTGAAGTATGAAAGGCCGAATAACCCAATGACTTTTCTTTGGAGGAGCAGCTGGCTAGCTTCCTCATAGCTAGCCCAGGTACTCATTTTGAATCTCTTGATTTCGATGAGTTTGTTCCTCCTAAGCCCGCATTACAACATGTACTACCCAAGAGTTAAAGAATTCACCAGAACATTTTAAATATGCTTATCTGGGTAGTAATGAAACTTTACCTGTTATTATTTCCTCTGCCCTTACTCCTAACCAAGAATATAGTTTGTTAAGAGTTTTGTCACATCACAAGAAAGCATTAGGATGGACTATGGAGGATCTGAAGGGAATAATTCCCACCATTTGCATGCATAAAATTCTGCTGGAAGAATGCCATATCAAATCCATAGAACCACAAAGAAGATTAAACCCAATCATGAAGAAAGTCGTGATGAAAGAAATTATCAAATGGCTTGAAGCTGGAGTGATTTACCCCATATCTAATAGTTATTGGGTGAGTCCCATCCAATGTGTACAAAAAAGGGAGGTACAACCGTGGTGACAAGTGAAAATAATGAGCTATTACCAACATGCATTCTCACGGGGTGGTGAATATGCATAGACTACCGCAAATGCAACAAGTCAACTAAGAAGGACTACTTTCCTTTGCCTTTCATCGATCAAATGCTATATTGACTAGCTGGCAAGGCATATTACTATTTATTGGATGGATACTCAGGGTATAATCAAATTGCCATCGTACCAGAGGACCAAGATAAGACTACGTTTACGTGTCCCTATGGCACTTATGCTTTCTGAAGGATGCCTTTTGGACTCTGTAATGCCCCAACAACCTTTCAGCGCTACATGCAAGCCATATTTTCTGACATGGTTGAGGATTTTCTAGAAATATTTATCGATGACTTCTCCGTTTCTAGAGATGACTTTAAGAAATGTCTTAAAAATCTGGCAAAGGTACTCAAGCGATGTGAGGAGGATAATCTCATACTAAATTGGTAAAATGTCACTTCATGGTGACCGAAGGCATTGTTCTAGGCTATAAGATCTCTCATAAGGGCATTTAATTGGACAAAGCCAAAATCAAGGTGATCGAGAAACTACCCCCACAAACTTCTGTCAAGGGAATTAGGAGTTTCCTTGGACATGCTGGGTTTTATAGAAGATTCATCAAGGACTTCTCCATGATATCCAAGCCCTTATGCACCCTGCATCAACAAAATCAACCCTTTTGTTCGATAAAAATTACCATGGTGAATTCACTGAGCTGAAACAAAGACTTATCTTTGCACCTATCGTGGTTCCCCCTGATTGGACGTCACCATTCAAGCTGATGTGTGATACGAGTGATTTTACCATGGGAGCTGTGCTTGGGTAACGCAGAGGTAAAATTTTCCATGTTATATATTATGCTAGTCATGCTTTGAATGAAGCACAACTGAACTATACTACCACTGAGAAAGAATTACTTGTCGTGGTATTTAAATTTGACAAGTTTATGTCATACTTAACTGAAAACTAGGTTGCAAATCATTTATCTAGGCTAGAGAACAATTATGAATGCCATGACATTTTAGATATTCAAGAAGAATTCCCCGATGAGAAAATTTATATGCCACAATAATTTAGTGGTACGCTAACATTGTTAATTTTATAGTTAGTGGTATTCTGCCTTATGAATTGAACAACCAGGGAAGGAAGACATTCAAGAATAAAGCCAAGTTCTACTTCTCGGATAAGCCATACTTATTCAAACAATGAGCCGATCAAATAATTCGACGTTGTGTCCCTGAGGAGGAGCAAAGAGACATTTTATACCATTGCCACATAGACCCCTATGGAGGACATTTCGGAGGTGCGATGACTGCTGCTAAGGTCCTCCAATCAGGCTTTTACTGGTTGTCATTGTTTAAGGATGCTCACAAGTTTTTCAAAGCGTGTGATAGATGTCAGCGCACTGGGAACATTTTCAAACCACACGAAATGCCATTGCAAAACATTATGGAGATCGAACTCTTTGATGTATGGGGCATTGACTTCATGGGACCGTTCCCATATTCTTTTGGAGAATTGCATATTTTACTTATTGTGGACTACGTTCCTAAGTGGGTTAAAGAAATTGCCACACCAAATAATGACTCTAAAACTATGCTCAAGTTCCTTCACAATAACATCATTACTTGATTTGGAGCACCAAGAGCCATCATCAGTGACGAGGGAACTCATTTTGATAACAAGCTAATTGCCAATGCATTACAAAAATATGGAGTACGACGTAAAATTGGCATGGCATATCACCCACAAACCAATGGGCAAGCTGAAGTGTCCAACCAGGAGATCAAGCAAATCCTAGAGAAGGTGGTGAATCCTATAAGGAAAGACTGGTCTCTAAAGCTGGACGAAGCGTGCTTGACTTATAAGACGTCATTAAAAAAACCTTTGGGAATGTCACCTTTCAAGGTGGTATATGGGAAAGCATGCCACCTACCTGTGGAGTTAGAGCATAAGGCATATTGGGTGATACGATCCAAACTAGCTCCAACTTTCTCCATGACTTGAACACACCATGGATGTTCTTCAAAGCTGTTTCTAAGGGAGTTCTTCATTACCCTATCTTATATTATATCATTTATACATTATATTCTATCATAAGCATGCATTCACATGTTAGTATAAATTATCATATTATTATTTCCATCCTATGCTTATTTGATCATGTTTTTCATATTATTCAAATATATGCTATGATTACATATCATTTCTTAGGATATTATTATTACATGTTTCCATTTATCATTTATGAATACCATGTTATATGATATTCATGCATACAACATATACCCATATCTTTATGATTGATACACAATGTTATAAGCATGTTAGGATAGTCTTATAATCATATTAAGTATGATTATCATATATACATCAAGGCAGCATCATTATAAATCATTTCATTAGTTCATATGCATTCATATTAGCTCTAAAGCTTCATGCATTATCTTACACATATTTTGAGATGATATAATTAGCTCATGACCTTCAAACATAGCTCACATCACCATAATCATACATGGAAGCAAGGTATTTAGCTCATAACAGGTCAATATCATGGACTTACCTTGTTTCCTTGCACATATAGGTACATTGGAGTGTGATGCACGATGAGGCAGCTTGGTAGAGTATTTGGACGTCATATGCAGCTCATAAACAGCTCACAAATATCTTGGCAGCTCGTGGAACAGTAAGGAAATCTCAACTTAGCTAGAGGAACTAGCATGTAGCTGAACTTAGCTGGAGGAGAGCTTTGGACCAAAGTGCTGAAAAGTGGACTAACTGGAAGTAGCTGGGAGAGTAGCTGAGGAGCTGAGAAGACCAAAGCTAACTAGCTTGAGTCTATCAAGCTATAACTCACCTAGTTAGCTACCAAGACACTCATCTAGCTTACCTTGAAGCTAGTTCATCTCTAGGCTGCCCAATGGATGCCATGTAATCTAGATACACGTTGGAAGCTAATTCACGCCTAGTTGTTGCCTATCTTCATTCCATGGACTTCAAGACATCATCCTATGGTTGCAATCTCATCAAAGCATAGCAAGAATACCCATGTGCATTCATGTAGGCTGCCATGTGCATCATTCAAGCATGTGCACTTCATGTGACATCAAATTGGAGCCAAAAAACCAAGGGATGCTTCCTATTCGACCAAAGACTCTTTCCTCTTCATTTTGGCGCCCAAATAACTTCCAAATACATTCAAATCATCTTTAGGGCCGAACCAACACATAACCATTCGGCCAAGAGCATGTATTTTCATTAAAGTCTTGTTTTTTCATTAAAAATCATGTCATTTTAGGAAGGTACAAGGGCTGGCCGAACCAACATGTACCTATTCGGCCAAGTCCCTTCAAAAACTATAAATAGGCCATTATATTTCATTTGTAATCAGACCTTTTATTTAATTAAAGTTAGATTATTCTCTTCCTTAAGTCTTGGTGACTTTTATCGACTTATCAAGTATATTTTATACTTGTGGCATCAACCCCTTTCTTTTTACCTTGATACTTCTGGTTCCTATTTCTTTATAACTAGTGGGTCAAAGTACTTCATACCACCACTTAAAAAAGCAATATAAAGTCTGGGTCCTTGCTCTATATAGCATTGGTTCTTCTTTGAGTCTTCTTTAAGATACTATCCTCATAATCATCCCTTTATTTCATAAACCATAATCATAGCCATATCAACAATCTTCCGCTTCCATCTCTCAATTTAAAACATCCCATCTATTTCACCCATACATTTACCACCTTAGCCATCTCTTTGAGCCATTCACTTGTGCAGGTTGTTTGCTTCCTTCCTAGATCCACAATCAATTGTTAAGGCATCAGAAGAGCCTTACATCAAGCGGTAATTAGAGCTTTGGTGGAAGAAAGCAACGTTCAACAACAACAAAAAAAAAATACAAAAAGAAGTGCAAGTGAAGTGCAAGTGAAAGAAAATAAAAAAAAAATCAGCAAAGAAAGTGAAGCACTCCAAAAGAAAGAAAAATCCAACACTCAAAAAGAAGAAAAAAACAAAGAAAAGAAATAAAGTTGAAGCACTAATCAACAATTCTCATCACCAAGCCAATTCAAGTAAGCCTTTTAAATTGATTGTGGTGATAGAAGGTTGTGAAGTGACTTGTGTAAGAACCCTTTTGTTCTATTCTTTCTATTTCTAAGCCACCCTTTCATTATATTTTGTTTTTCCATTCCTACTAACTCTTTTACAGCCGACGCCAAACAAGTTGAAATTTACTTGATACAGTCTTGAGTAAAGTTCTCTGGAACTTGGGACAAGAGAATTGAGAGGAAAAAGGCTGGAGCGTGTGTGAGATCAGAAGAGGACAAGTAAAAGCCATTAAGTCCTAGAGTGCAAACACGAGTGGATTGAGTGACATTCAAGTTTTCCTTGGAGTGACTCGTGAAGTTTTTCGAGAGTATATTCAGGTAAGGTCCTACACACATTTCATTTTTCCTTATTTGCT